GGCTGCCGACCAGGAGGAGGAGGAGGGGGAGCAGAGCAGAGCAAAGCCACGGAGCACGCGGCCAGCTCAGACGCGTCTGGGCTGTCAGCTGGCCGCGTGTTCCGCTGCTTTGCTTCCTCTCCCTGGTCTGCTGGAGACCAGGGAGAGGAAGTGCCCCGTTCGTAACTGCGGATCTGACATAAGTCGGATCCGCGTAACTCGGGGACTGCCTGTATTGCTTTACTGACAGGCTCTGTGCAGCTATCCAGTGTATTAAAGCAAGTGTGGTGACAAGCACAGCCTATAAAACATTCACCAGTAAATGCTAAAATGCATTACTGAGTGAAGAAGGTGATCCTAATCTTAATTCTGCCAAATTTTTTGTTAGACTGAATACTGAACTTAATGCTGGGGTTTCCAATGTTAAGCTGCCTTGAACTTTATTCTTCCTGAACATACCTTTGTTATACTTTCTGCTGCAGGTATGAGATGCAAGATGCTGGAATTACTTCAGACACATTGATGAAGAACTTCTTCTTTGTGCCTTCTTGCATTCAGCTGAGCCCAGAAGACCGCTTTTCCACTGCAGCTTAAACAGGCAGTAACGCTTCATGTAGACTTGCAGTTGCAAGCCTGTAGTTTGTCTGGTCAACATTCCACTGTGGAATTAAAATGGAACAATCTTTAATTCAACTTGCTCTTCAAAACTTGAAAAAAAAATAGTTAATTGGGACCAGGCAAAACGAGCTACAACTACAATTCACTGGGGGTGGGAAGGTAAGATAAGTGTCCAGATTTAAATTTGCTAGTATGTTCAACCCCTGAGCGTTTAAATAAAATATGCAACAAAATGGATGACTTAGTTGAGATGGAAACCCATCACTTGGGTTCTCAGTTAAACAGTTTACATACAAGTACACAGTTTTTATACTAAGGATTCCTGTTAGAAAGTCTTGTAAAGTTGTCTTTCACCCAGATATATCAAATGTCAGTGGGAGACTAGTGTGACTTCATTAGAGATGTTCAGTGTATTTAGAGTGTGTAAATTTGTGCTTTGAACTGTAGTTTTAATAAATGTAAAAATGCATCATAGTATTTGTTGTATTTGACCCTTGACGTAACCAGTGTATGATTGCAATAAAACTTTGTGTAGATTTTTTTTCAGGCTCTCTTTGTGAGAAGGGCTAGATAGTGAAATGGATGTGTAGAGATAATAGCCTGTGTGGGGGACTCCTGAGAACTATTTCAGGTTTAGATTGGCAGAGCATTAAAAATAATGAATAATTAGTTCAAACTTAATCTACTTCAATTAATGTGTAAAATTCAGATAAGTTCCTGGAAAGCTAAAATGCAGTTTGTGGTGTTGCTTAAACTAAATTATATTAACACTTCTAACACCAAATCAAACCTTCAGGTCAACAGTAGTGAATAGCAGGACAGATAATTAGAATGCATGTAATACCCATGTAGAAATATGAATTACAGTTGTACTGGATGTTAAATTGGAAATGTTAGTTCCTTTTTTTGAACCAGCTTTATAGAAACTTCAGCTAGTTTGGTACAGCATTAAGTCCTTACAATAGAAGGGCTATATGTCTTCAGAAACCCTGATGCTCTTTTGCACTCTTCTTTGTGTATTTAACAGCAAAGCACACCAACTCTATATATGCCAACTACATCAACTAATCTTAACTAAAGCTGTTCATGGAATTACTTGTTCTGTAACTAAAGTCTCTCTTTTCTCCAGTCTCTCCCCTTGCTCCTCTCTCATTTTAGGATTTTGAAATATGGCTCGTGTTAAATCCTGAATCTCTGAATGAAAAGGATTAATTAGAAAAAATGATTTCTTAAGCTCCTTATCTGGGAATGTGAAATTTCTGCCTCACATGTGCAAATATAATTTAACATTAGTGCCAACTGGCAGCTCAGAGAGGCTAATAATATTTTATACCCTTCAATATGGAAATAATGTGAGTTTATCATGAAATGATCCTTTCACCTTGGACTTCTAGCACCAAGGGCTTGCCTACACAGAGTTTTATACCTGTAACTGCATTCACACTAGGGGATATTACCATCTGTCTTTCAACTGTTATACTTAAACCAGTACAAGAATGTCATAGGCCAGCCATAAGGGAAGCGCTAAGGCCCAAATCCTCAGAAGTATTTGGGTGCTTAAATATCTATGTGGTTCTGGACTGTCTTAAGTTATGCTTTTTGAGTTAAAATGTTCCTGTCTATTGAAAGGATAGATTGAAGATAGTCCTATTATAAAACTATTGGAATTAGTTTTATTGAAAATAGTCAAATCAAATTTCTCTAGGTTTGAAAAAGTCCACATACTCTCTAGTGCTCCAACGGCAAGTCTATCTGAAATCTTAAAACAAAGCAGATTGCACAGACTGAACTCTAGTTGATGTTTTGTAGTTTATCTGAGATCATGTTGTAGGATTCTGCTATGGAGCCTTAAGGAGAATTGTTTTATATTAAACTTACAGCTCAGTGGCAAATAATTCCTTTGTAAATTATATGGTGGTCATTTCAGACATATCTATTGTACATGAAGACAGTTTGCCATAAAAAGTGAAGTTTGAACATGGTATGTATTTCAACTTGATGTTAACAATTGTTACTATCATGTTTACAATATTGTAATCTCAATTCAGAAATGAAAATATAAACCTAAATGATTTCTATATAGTAATTGAACTGTAATGTAGCTTTGTCATGCTGAATACACATCTACAACTTCCTGCTCAGTGGCTCAAAACTACTCTTGTGGACCTTGGTATGAATAGACAGTGGGACTTATAAACCATTTCCTAGATGTTAATATTCAAGCATTGTTTCCAGAACATTCTACTATATCCCAAAGAGGCTTAGTGTTGCACCATACTTATTCTTACAAATTAATACCTCCTCTGAAGTACTCCATTAATATCTGACAATTTTTGTCTGTTTTTGAATTTCCTGAGCATTCATCACCACCCTGTAATTAGGCATTATAAATTGAGGCAGTGGTCCATTTCTGTTTTGTATAGACAAGCTGTTCAAAAACTTCTACAAAAAGATAACTCTTTTTTAGCCACAAAGCCAGTGCCCTATATATGATTTAGTATATCCTTTGCTGCTACCCAATCAACCTAAAAATAAAACTTATCTATATCTAAGGGGTGGTCACGTAGCAAAAATGAGTCCTGTATCAGAGGTGGCTAAATTCTATCCCTATCTTATGACTTAGTGTGGGAGACTATAGGTAACGCAAAAGGAAGATTTAATACTCTTAATGGGCTGCACACAGACTTGAACCAGGGTGAGAAAACAGGAAAAGTTAATATACAATGAAAAACAAACTGTGGGTTTAGCTGGCTCTACTTCCCTTGGAAGAAATATCTAAAATTCAATAGAAGAGCAACAGCTAGTCTAAAACAATCTTGCAACTTGGTTTGATATTGACTCCCTGTAATTAGGCACAGCCCCTATAGACATGTTTAGACACCAACTAGGGATGTGAATTGGTTACCTATGTATTCAGATACACAGTTAACCAATGAGCCTCATAATTACATGTAGCCCTCCCCTGCTACTTCTCTATCAGAGACAGTGGGGGAAGGGGACAAGAGACATGAGAGTCTATGTTTGCACCTGCTCCTGCAGAGCCACCATCCTCCTTCCTCCCGTGCTGCTGCCTCTGATACAGCTAGCTCCCTCTTCCCTCCTCCCCCATCCATGTGTAAATGTGCAGTTACACATTTACACAAAAAAATGCATTTTATCATCCCTAGCACCACCTTCTAAAGTCATGTGATGGTCAATCTTTCATTTTAAAAAATTTAAATTCTTCTACACACAGAAAACACCCATTGAAGTCAGAAATTAAATTGGGAATCTGTCAGCCGATGGTCAGGGCAGTGTGTGTGTGTGTGTGTGTGTATGTTTCCGAGAAAAGGTTTAACGTCCGTGTCTTTACTGCTAGGACCGGGGTCCTGTTGCAGAGAGTGGCCAGCAGGCCAACAGACGCCCCGTTATATAGGAAGAGCTTATTACACCTTAGATTTTAGCTGCTAGAACACAAGGGTTTCTTTGCAGCGGGCAGCCTAAGAAAGGCTGAAAAGGTGCCCCAACAGATCTTGTCACCTGGGAGTGACACAGATCCAGACCCCCAAAAGCTCTCCCTATGTCTGTCCCTTTATGACCAGCTGAAGTTCTTTTAAATTGTGCTTGGTTCTATTACAGCAACTGAAGGAGTCAGGTTAAAGCTTAAACAGTTACAGGTTTATTAAAGAAGCTTATAAATAATATGGTTACAATGGCTATTGCTCTATTTCTTAAATGCTAGCAAATATATATATATATATATAGGTCTTAAAAATGATTACAGGAAAAAGGTAAAGATAGAAAATAGAAATAATGGTACCAAGTGACAGCTTAATCTTTAAAGAGCTCTAACACTATGGCTACGTCTACACTGGCCCCTTTTTCGAAAGGGGCATGCTAATTTTCAACTTCAGAATAGGGAAATCCACGGGGGATTTAAATATCCCCCGCGGGATTTAAATAAAGATGTCCGCCGCTTTTTTTCTGGCTCGGGGAAAAGCCGGAAAAAAGTGTCTAGACTGGCCCGATCCTCCGGAATAAAGCCCTATTCCAGAGGATCTCTTATTCCTACTTTGA